TGTTATTTCTTTTCCTTTTGATTCTAGCCATTCTGACAGGTGTTAGCTGATATCTCACGTGTTTTTGATTTGTATTTCCCTGATGATAAGTGTTGTTGAGCATCTTTTCATTGTCTGTTGGCCATCTGTTATGTCTTATTTGGAAAAATGTCCTCTGTCCATTTTTTAATCAGATTATTATCACCCCCACAAGTGCTGAGTTGTGTAAGTTCTTCATATATTTTAGATATTAACTCCTTACCAGATATATCAGTTGAAAATATCTTCTCCCACTCAGTAGGTTGCCTTTTTGTTTCGTTGATGGTTTCCTTCACTGTGCAAAAGCTTTCTGTTTTGGAGTAATCCCAATTGTTTACTCTTGCTTTTGTTTCCCTTACTCGCAGAGACACTTTTAGAAAAATGCTGCCAAGGTCAATGTCAAAGATAATACCACCTATGTTTTCTTCTAGTTTTATGGCTTCAGGTCTCACATTTAGGTCTTTAATCTATCGAGCTTATTTTGTGTATTGTGTTAGAAGTGGTCCAGTTTCACTCTTTTACATGTAGTTATCTAGTTTTTCCAGCACCATTTATTGAAGAGATTGTCTTTTCCCCATTATATATTCTTGCCTCCTTTGTCATACATTAATTGACCAAATAAGCATGCGTTTATTTCTGGGCTCTCTATTCTATTCCATTAATCTATTATTCCATTAATCTATATGTCTACTTTTGTGCCAGTACCACACTGTTTTGATTATTACAGCTTTGTAGTATATCTTGAAATCTGGGATTGTGATACCTCTAGCTTTGTTCTTCTTTCTTAAGTTTGCTTTGGCTTGAATTGTACACTTTAAAAGATGACTTTTATGGAATATAAATTATATCTCAATTTTTTTAAGTTTATGACCATTTTGACTATTTTATCTGAAAGAAAACTGTTCTTTTAAGATAGGAATCTTGGGGCGTCTGGGTGGCTCTGTTGGTTAGGCATCTGACTCTTGATTTCAGCTCAGGATCGAGCCCTGTGTGGAGCTCAGCAGGGAGTCTGCTTGAGATTCTTTCCCTCTGCACCTCCCCCCATTCAAGTGTGATCTCTCTCTCACTCTCTCAAATAAATAAATCTCTTAAAAAAATAAATAAAATAGAAATCTTATTTTGTAGTTTGTTTTCTGAAGCTGAGCTAAACTTGTGATTACAAATTGGTCCCCTGCCAACCCTATGTAAAACTACAGCTTTAAATTTTTATCAATGCTAACTACTAACTTGCCAATATTTATAGAAAGATTTCTCATAAGTATCTGGATCTCTAACTTCCTAAAGAAAACTGGAGTTCTAAAAATACTAGGCACACTTGCACAGCAACAATGTCCTGGAGCTAAGCAGCAACTACCATACCTGCTCCTATCTGCCATGATCGTCATCACTCCCTACTGTCTTCTAGATACTAAAGCCAAGTACCAGTTACCATTTAGCTTCCCAGTTGTGAGTTTGTTACCTTACACATCCTAAACAAATAAGTCTTCTCCTTCTTATCAGGGTATACTATGAATCACTGCTGATAAATTAAAATGTAATTATGCAATTGGCCAAAAGGTACAAATTTCCACCTATAAGTTCCAGGGATCTAATGTACAGCATGGTAAACTATAATTAACAATACTGTATTATACATATATACATGTCAAAATTGTTAAGAAAGTAGATATTAAATGTTATCTACACACACACACACACACACACACAAGTAATTGTGTGGGGGATGGTAGTGTCAACTAACCTTTTTTTTTTTTTTAAGATTTTATTTATTTATTTTAGAGACAGAGAAAGAGAGAGCCTGTGTGCTGGTGAGCTGGGGGAGGAGCTGAGGGAGAGGGACAAGAAGACCCTGCGCTGAGCACAGAGCCTGATGTGGGGCTCAATCAATCGAGCCTGACATCAGGACCTGACCGAAATCAAGAGTCGGACACTTAACCGACTAAGCCACCCAGGCACCCCTGGTAGTGTCAACTAATCTTATTGTGGTAACCATTTTGCTTTATATACATGTATCAAATCATCACCCTGTATACCTTATACTTACATGTTATATGTCAATAATATCTCAATAAAACTAGAAATAGAATTTTAAAATTTAAATGTAATCATATACAATTACATTTTTATTAAATGCAAAGATAAAAATCTGCACGAAATACCTATTGAATAAAATCCTGCAACTGTCAGAGATTCATGCTGTATAAACACTTTAATGTGGGGGTAAAAAAATTGAGGGAAAAGTTCAAGTTTCTAGTCCTACAAATAGAAAGCAAATTCTTTTCACCTCATTTACAATTAAAAATTATTTTCATCTATTAACAAAAAGCAGTGCACTAGTCCGAGTCCTTGTCCATGTATCCTCAAGTTTACAGGTGACATTTCACATATTATCACTACATTGAGTATTGATAGATACTATATAAAACCAGAGAAGCATCACAATTACTTCATAATTGCAATCCACGAATGCAAAGGTGCAATTAGATTTTATGTCCAACTGAAAACTCAATCCTGTTCTTACCCCCATATCAGGTGTTGCCACAGAAAGGGGGAAAGCTGTCCTATCCAGATTATTTACTGGATATGAAAACAAATTGCTTTATTTACTCACTGATTTTATGTTTAAACCATCTAGAACCCACCTGATGCTTAAGTGCACAAAGAACAATTCCTACCCATTAATAGGTTCTAGCTGTATTTACAGAACTAAAAGAAAATAAAACACAAGGTGAATATGACAGTAACAGAAAAAAGTGGCCTGAACTATTTCCTATTCCAAGTGTAAATGAGGATTGAGTTAAATGCTACATCAAGAACCTTGCAGCTTTAAAATTCTGTGTATTTATCCACATTTTCTCTTCCTTTTCTCCAGATCAAATAATTCACCTAGCTGAACTGCTTTTCCTGTAGGTGGAAAAGGTTAAGATAGTATCTGTATTCCATTTCATTTTTATCATCATTTCTAATAGCCAATAAAATATCAACCCACAAGATGACTTCTAAAAGCAGCTATTCCCTTTGAAATAGGCAAACCAAACTCATTTCTCAAAATCTTCCAAAAGAGAGACCAGATGAGTCAACTGCTTAGTAGTTTAGACGTAAACTTCAATGTTCTTCCCTCTCTGAGCCACGCCACTTAACTTGCCCCAAGTATCCTTAAGTTTACAGGTGACATTTTACATATCAACACAACTACTGAGTATTAATAGATATTATATAAAATTGGAGTAGCATCACAATTGCTTTATAATTGCAATTCCTAAATACACAAATGCAAAGGTGCAATTGGATTTTATGTCCAACTGAAACCATAATCTTGTTTCTGCTTAAACCTGATGGTGAATAAAATGGGATGGTCTCCAAAAAGTTCACCAAATTCTTAATGCACACTATGATCCAAATTGCAAAAATAACTTTTTCAAAAGTGTAGGACTAGAAACAAAACAAAAATCAATCACTACCTCAACTATGACTTATGGAAGCACAAGGTGCCATTAGATTGATAAAGATTAGAGAATCTACATCTTGAGTTTTACACCTTTAAGAGTATAATGTGAGTTGACTATACAGGAATTAGCAGGAATTAGTTACGTTTTACCTGTTGTTTAACAGTCATGTTCCACAGAACTTTCTGATGATAAAAATGTTCTGTATTTGTGCTGTCTGATACCATAGTCAATAACCACATGTGGCTACCAAGCACTTGAATTGTTGCTAGCAAGTCTAAGTGAACTTTTTATTTAATTTTAATTATTAAAATTTAAATTGCCACATGTAGGCTAGTGGCTATCACATTGAACAATGTAGTTCTGTCATTTGAAATACAATGTATAAACTTCACTGAACAGTAGTTTTTCAAAAGTATCATTCCTGAGGATGTTAACACCAGCTAAAACCTTCCTGATAACTAATGATACACAAGTTAAGCCAACGGCTTAAACATCAAATAAACAAAATAAAATTCACTTATGAAATGAGAACTGACGATACCAAGATTCAGAATTTAAGGCACAATATTCACTAAGAGACAATATTAAAAAAGACATCTCGAGTTTTTCCCCATTGTTTCTACAAAAGAGGTACTCACTTTAAGAATAGTTTCCCAATATATGCAAGTTACTTCCCCTTCAAATCTGCCCAGTATCTTCTGTTCAAAAAGAACAAATGGCAAAAATAAATTCTCAGCACTATTACGTCTACTGCCACTCGGTAAATTTCACACGTTGATTTCCCTTTCCTTAAAGAAGAGATAAAATGTTTGGAAGCCTCTGCATCGCCTGAAAGCCTTGTTATCCATCTTTCCACGTATTCAGACGTACAAATCATTCTGACATAGTTGCGATTTCGTCCCTAGACGCAATTATTTTCAGTCCAAAAAAGTCACTACTCTTTTCGGCACTTCAGGTATTCTTTGACCAGCTCTTCCTAAGTCAAGAAAAGTAACCAAGATGGTGCACAAGATGTCAAAACAAGTCTGAGAACTTGCAGGTTGAACAGCCTCGAAGCAGAATCAACCGCCTTTAACCCCAAGAGAGTGTGCCTCGAACTATCCGACGAAGCAAACAGGCGAGCAAGGTCGTGACCTAAGGTCACGGCCGCCAGCACCGCTCCCGCCCGGCAGCGGGAAGCCACCTGTTAGGCCCGAGGCTCACCTGGCAGGAGAGAGGAGGCGCATACCCGGCAGTGAGCCGGGCGCGGACGCCTAGGCGACCAGCGTGGGACCCGCCCCTCACGCGGCGGCGACCGGAGACGGCAGCGAGCCCCCCAGCTGCACGTGGGCTTCACCCGGCCGGTGCTTCGCTGACAGGCGGGTCGCCCGCGGTCCCCGGCGGGGCCTCCGCGCGCCAGTCCCCGGGGCGGCACCCTGCCTCCCTCGCACCCACCCGCCGAGTGGGCGCACAGGCGGCCCACACCGCTGGCCCGCCGCCCTCCCTTCCTTCCTCCCGGGTCGGCGCGATCCCGCCCCGCCGCTCCTCACCTACCTGGTCACGGAGTTTGAGGAACGCCATGGCGGTCGCCTCCACCGCCGCCCCGGCCCACCGCTTCCGCCCCCGTAGCTTCGGCCGCTGCCCGGGGCCGGCAGGTCGGCGGCCGGCTGCGCTGAGGAGTCCGCGGGCAGGGGGCGGTGCCGCCTCCCGGGCCGCCCGCCGCCGCTACCGAGAGGTGAGGAGCCTGGTCGGTCCCGCCTCCTCCTCTGAGTAGTCCCCCGCCCTCTTTCCTTTCTTTCTCTTTCTCTCAGCTGCCTCCACACGCTGCCGCTGCCACAGCCGCCGCCGCCGCAGCCGCCGCCTCCTCACGCCCCCTTCCCGAAATACCCTGGCAGCCCCCGCGGCCGCGCCGTTCCAGCCCGCGGCAGCGGCGGCATCCAAACTCCACTCCACAATATTACCACCACCGCCCGCCGCGATTGGCGGCCGCGCGGGGGAGAGGCCAGAGTAAGCCGAGCGCCCATTGGCCACGCCACCGCGCTCGTTCGTGCCCCCTCCCACCTCCTGGAGAGGGAGGGGGCGGAGAGAAGGAAGCTGCGAGGGGTGGGCTGCGAGCTACTGCGTGCGGGGCGGGGGAGGGGGGAGGGCAGCGGAGCCGAGCAGGGGGAGGGGTGGCCAGGTACTCCTGGGCGCGCGCCCCGGGCGCGGTAGGCGGAGCCCGGGCTGGAGATGGGGGGAATCTGTAAGCGGGGTAACGGCCCTGGGTTCGCACGTGGAGGTGGAGTGTGGACTCTCCCCAAAGCTGGAGGAGGATGAAGGAACTGGGTGAGGGGCCGGAAGGGGTGTGAGAGGTGGGCACCTGGGGGCTGCTGCCTCCCTAGCAGCCGCAAGGGGAGAGGGGCGAACCCGATGCGCACGTGGAGGGAGAGTGAGAATGCGCCCCTGGGCTTGGGGAGGATGAAGGAGCCGAGGGAGTAGGGGGAGAGGCGGTCACCGGGAGGCTGCTGCCCTCCCGGGGGCTGTGGGCAAGGCTGGAAGGAGGGGGCCATGGGGGAGCGTGAACTGCCTGGGTCTCGCGCGTCAAGGGAGAGTGAGCGCTCCTCCCCAGCACACGCCCCTCGGGACTTGGTTGGACTAGTCACCGCGGGGTGTGAGAGGTGACGCGTGGGGGCTGCTGCCGTCCCGGGGGCTGCAACCAGGCCGGGGGACCGGGGGGCGGGGGAGGGGAGGGGCGCGAAGCTGCACTCGGGGCGGAACGGCGGCATCTTTGCAGCCAAACAGGTTGTGGACGCCGGAGTCTTTCTCTGCCTGTAGTCCCAATCCGAAGCAAGGCTGCGATTCTCCAAAATCCTCCTGCCCGACTTGCATTTTTTTTCCCCTTTCTTCTTTCGCATCTGAAGGGTTTTGCCTCCCACTCTAGAGAAATCAATTTAAAAAATAAAAGATGTGCTGGATTTCCAATAAATAGCATCCTTGGATGGAGAAGAAGAAAAATGATTCCCTCACTCTGCCACACACACCCCCATGCCACCCCACAGTTCTGAAACGGCTTTTCTTTCTAAGGCAGCCCCACACTGTTACCATTCCAGGCTTGTGTGGGAGAAGGCTGTTGTGCGCCCGTGTCTGTCCGCCTGGGCGGCTCCAGCCCCTGGTTAATAAAAGGTACAGATGGTTAGAGCACAAATGTGTGACGTCAGGCTCGGTTTAAAAAAGTCCCCTTTTCCCTACATCAATTGTGTCTCTTGGGACAGACTTTATTTAGAGGATCGATTTGAGTCTAATGGCAGTCAGGAGAAAAGGGGATCTATGCCAGGACTGTCAGTTTATGATAATGCTGTGCTTAAAACAAAAAGCTTATCTTTTAGCCCCATAAAAAAATGAAAATATCAGAGTGCAAAATGAAAAACACTGCTGATTAATAGTATCCTTCCAATATTCTTTGACATATCAATGCCTTGATTCCGTAGAAACAATTTCTTATCTGAAATTAACAATCCTCATCATAAATTATGTTTTCTACTTGAAATGGAAAGATTCTCGTAACAGGTACAATCATGCTGAGGCTAAAAAGGAAGCTAAACTAGTCTTGCTTTGCATTATCTTCAGTACCTCACTCCACTTTACTTCAACTTCAGCAGATATTTGTCATCTAGCCTCTCCTTGTCGATTCAGTGAGGTTGAATGAGTTAAGTTGTGAAAGCATTTGAGTTCTCCAAAACAAAGGTGTTGTGATAATATTGCTTGAGTACTTTGTGATTACCAGTCACCTTTATAAATAATTAGCCATGTGCTATATCCAATATAGAGTTCTATCTTAGTCAAGGCGTGCAGGAATTTACCCTCATTTGTACATGAACCTGTTAAGCACTGGATGTCTAGCCAGGAATTAATACACCCCCTTATCCCCCACTCCACCCCCAATAATATCTTCTCAAGGTTAAAGTTCTAGAGTTTAAAAGCACAACAGGAACTTGATTCAGAACATGGCAAAGATTAACTTTTGGAGAAAACACAAGTGCATTTGAGAGAATTAATTTAAATTGTGGACCTGTGTGCATTTTAATAGGTTTTATGATTGAGCTAATGAAACTTTTCAGGGCTCTTCTGAAAATCCTAATTAACAATAATTAATGAAAATATTTTATAATGCACCATCTCTGACAACCTTGCAAATGGTAAGCTCTGAACTCTCCTGGTAGGGAATGCTTAATACCTAGCTCAGTTCTCACCTTTCTCCATCCTGAACAACATGTAACTTGGGTCTTGATTTCATGATTTGTAAAAACTAAGCTCAACATTACCTGGCCCACTCATCTCACACAATCAAATAAGATAATGACATGAAAGGCTGTGGGAACTCTGAAGGACCATTCAAATATAATGTTATTACAGCTACATCTCCATAGCTGGAGAGGGGATAACAATCATTCTGGAATAAAAAACCTACATAATCGAGCAGTGAAATGAAATAAGATTCATAGGGTGCCTGGGTGGCTCGGTCGGTTAAGCGACTGCCTTCAGCTCAGGTCATGATCCTGGAGTCCCTGGATCGAGTCCCCGCATCGGGCTCCCTGCTCAGCAGGGGGTCTGCTTCTCCCTCTGCCCTCTTCCCTCTCGTGCTCTCTGTCTCTCAATTCTCTCTCTCTCAAATAAATAAATAAAATCTTTAAAAAAAAAAAAGAAAGAAGATTCATATTCAAATTCTGATAAAATCTTTCAAAATCTTTATTATAAGGTTATTCCTCCCTATTATAAAATATTCATATATTAAAGGAATCTATAGTGTTGAAGAGTCCCATATCATCAGAGCTAATGAGACCAGGAACTTGAATGGTGTCTGTTATCTCTCTCCCACCCATCCCCCACCTCCTCCCCCTCCCACCTTTTCTAAATGTCATTTTCATTCTCTCTTACTACAGCCAGCAGCTCTACTTATATTTTAAGTACTCTGCTGTCATAAAGGAAACCAAATTTTAAGTCTCAGGGAATGACTAATCAGTTGGGTTAGACTCATCTGACCATGCCTTGGCCAGTCATTACAACCAAAGAAGCAAGGTCTTAGAACTGATAACAGCTTCCATTCAGAATTCATGTCTAAAATGGTAGGAGGAAAGATGTCATACAGATGTGATCACTGGGGAAATTGCTATGAGCTAGGCAACCACATTAAATTTTATTTAGTATGCTGCTATGTGTTGGGCACTTGGCACCTTAAGTGCTTCACCTCATTTAAGTTTTTCAATAATCTCAGTAATCTCTTTGTGTTGGGAAACTGGGCCCCAGAGAAGTGTACCCATAGTTACCTAACTAACTAATGTCAGGGCCCAAATGCATGAGAACCTTGAAAGCCAGGAGAGTAACTAATGTGGTAGGAAATACACCATTGATCACTTTTGAGCCAGATAATCTTTATATTATAAAAATGATTTTTTTTTAAAAGATTTTATTTATTTGAGACAGAGAGAATGAGAGACAGAGAGCATGAGAGGAAGGAGGGTCAGAGGGAGAAGCAGACTCCCTGCCGAGCAGGGAGCCCGATGTGGGATTCGATCCCGGGACTCCAGGATCATGACCTGAGCCGAAGGCAGTCGCTCAACCAACTGAGCCACCCAGGCACCCATAAAAATGATTTTTAAGAAGAGACTGAAATACATGGAAAATGCATATAATAAACTGCTAAAGCAGCAAATATAAGTTCAGAAGCCTGGAGGATAGAAATAGAAGACCCAATGTACATCTAAAAGAGTTTCTAGAGAAGAGAAAATAGAGTATGAAAGAGAGGCAATATCCAAAGAAATAATATGTGAGAATTTTTCAGACCTGAAGAAAAACATGAGTTATCAAATCAAAGGAAAATGCTGAGGCTCAAGCAGAATAAATTTTTAAAACTGAGACCTGTACATAGTAGTGAAATTACAGAGTACCAAATGCAATAGGAAAATGTTAAAAGTTACCACTGAGAAAAATCAAAGTATCCTAAAAGGAATGACAGTCTTTTTGACAGGAAAGGAGTCCTTTTGACAGGAATGACCTGTCAGCAGATTTATAAGCAACAATAGGTGACAGAGACAATGGAAAATATCTTCAAAGTATTGAGAGTTCATAACAGAGAAACTATAATTCTATACCTAGCTAAACTATCTTTCAGGAGGAAGAACAAAATAACATTTTTAAATTTAATATTCATAGGTGTTCATTGAAAGACATACTAAAGAATTTGCTCCAATAAGAAAAAAGCTGAACCCAAAAGGAATAAGTGATATGGGAGAAGGAAGGATAAACAAATAAATTAGCAAATATCTCAGCTAATCTAAATCAGTAATATTTTTTACATACCATATTTTGGGAGTTTAAAACCAGGTGAAATTAAAATATTAGCCCCTAATGGGGCACCTGGGTGACTCAGTCAATTGAGCATCCAACTCTTGATTTTGGCTCAGGTCATGATCTCAGGGTGGTGAGACTGAGCTCTGCAACAGGCTCCACACTGGGCATGAATTCTGCTTAAGATTCTCTCCCTCTGCCCCTCCTCTCTTTCTCTCTCTCTTTCTCTCCCTCTCTTAAACATAAAATAAAATATTAACCTTAAAAATATGGTAAATGATAGCAGGAGGGAGTTCTGAATTAAAGACTTGATTTCTTTTACTCAGGAGTGAAATACACCTTAAGTTTAGACTTTGACAAGTTATTATATTGGTTAAAATTCCTTCTTGCAAATAACAACTCCAAGCAAGAATTTCTTAAATTGACGTTCAGCAGCTCCAGGGCCATCGGGTACGCTAAATAAACGAACAAACAAGCAAGCTTGGGTTAAGGTGCCAGGAAAATTGCCCTAAACCATGCAACAGAACTGACATGATAAAGAAACTGCTGCTATTCCCATCAAGCACTAAATGCCATGAGCTCAGCTTTTCTTTATCTGTTCCTGCTATCAGCCAGTTCCGTGTTAGA